AAAAAAAAAAAAAGATATAACAGTGACTGCCCTGTCCAGCCCAGCACCAGCACCCGGGAGCAGTGGTGATTAATGTTGCTCTGTGGTAGGCTTGTCATTTGACCCAGTGCCCTGCTGCTTTTCCTAAGGGACCAGTCTCCTCTCACCTCCTTTCCGCTTATGCGAAGGGTCTCAGTGGGAACCGACTCAACTCTTCCAGCTCTCCCCCATGTGCTCCCATGGCCGATGCCTGTACTGCCAGGGACACAGGCAGGAGGCCTAAGCCATCTTGTTTGAACAGAAGGGCTGAATGCTTCAAGTGGGGGTGGTGGACTGTTAGTTATTCCCATAAATAACGGGACCAAGACGTTTAATGTGCACTAAGGTGTGATGGATGTGGCATGGCCTTCCATGGCCAAGCATGGGATAAACCACCCTAAGGGCAAGGAGGGTAAGATCTCCCTTCCTAGAAATTCTCTGGGCCTTGGGACCTTGTGTGGAGTTTTCTGAATCTGAGGCCTCTGGCTCTGAGGCCATCTGTGTAGATATCAGGCCCTTCCCTGGCTCCTCTCCTCCCAGAGAGCTGAGGTTGGAGACGGAGACCTGCAGATTGGTGCTTGATCTTAGATTCTCCATCGAGACGCTAGAGGGCACCCTCCACCCCATCCTAGAATGGAAAAAGAGAAACAGTCCCACAGGGGGCAAATCAGTCAGCCCTCTACGCCCCCGCAGAGACCACCGCCCCCGCAGAGACCGCCTCCGAGGTTCAGAAATGCAGGTGATGGGGGTGTTGGAGTCTCTCAGCACTCTATCCCTGAACGTCCTCACACCCTCTTACTGCTGTGGGTGGTAAGTCCTTTTTTGGACTCAAACCTCACGTGGCCCTGGCCTTAATTATTAGGGAAGAGAAGAATGATTAGAGAAAACCTGACTGGGAAAAGGGCTGAGCCAAGGATGGAGGGAGCCTGTGTCTCAGATATGGCCGAGTGCGAGGCATCCTGGGGAGCAAGAGGGTGGGGAGGCCCTACAGTGTCATTGCAGTTTGCCGGTGTGAGAAACTGAACTGGGGGGGTTGTCCCAAGATACCCAAGGAGGATCCACACCTCACCCATGGTGGCGGGACCCCTGCGTCTCAGTCCCTTCAGCTTACCAAACTGCCTGATGCCCTTCAGGATTTCCGCCTGGCTGTCCTCTTCTTCCTCCTCTTCCTCATCATCCTCATCCTCCTCCTCCTCCTCCTCTCTTGGATAACCCAGCTCCCGCAGCTCTCCCAGCTCATCCTCCTCCTCGGACACCTGGTTCTCGTTCAAGTTGCTGATGGACTGCAGGTGAGACTCAGCAATGCGCTGCACGGCTGGCACAGAGGGGGCCCAAGGAGACAGACGTCAGCCAGAAGCAGCCCGTGGATCTGGAGGGGCGTGTGGCCCAGTCCCCAGCCCCCTCCCGTGGGCCTGGGCAGAGAACCCCCCCAGGGGCCAAGTGCAAAGGCCAAAGGCTACAGGGGGTCAGCCCCGGCCAGAAGCAGCAGGGGTCAACTTAATCATGTTTGGCTCTTAAGCTGTCCCAAGATGCTGGCCCCCTGGAGCTGGCACTGGGCAGCTCCCCCACACCACAGGGCGCCAGGCTGGGCAAGACCAGGCGGGCACAGCAGCAGCTTAACATTCCCTGGCTGGAGAGCTTGATCTGAAGGACCCAGTACAGAGCCAGAACCAACCAGAGTCAAGCCTGGGCAGAAGGCGCAGGGCCTATGCACTAGGGTCCAGGGTTGGCCCCTTGCCTTTTCTGGGGGAGTGCTCATCCTGTTTAGGGCTCTCTGGTCACCCCATCCTGCCTCCCATGCTGTGCACAGTCCCTACACCCCCCAGCCCCCTCCCCCAGATGCCAATCCACTCCATCCCAGGCTTCAAGGGAAGGAGCAATTCTGAGGGCGAAGACCTTGGAGCCTGCAGCCAGCGGAGTCTGTGACTGGGGATGCGGCATGCTCCGACACCGCCCCCACGATCTTGACCCACATCCCCAAGCTCCCAGCTCCCTCTGCGGTGACCTAGAAAGCACCCCCTCGAAGGTCTGCTCGGATAGGGCCAGGAAGGGAGCAGTGTGGGCAGCTGGAGAAAAGTGTCCGAAAGGTGGAAAGGAGCAGGTTTAGGAGAAAGAGCCAGGGTCGGAGGTCCTGGGGGACAGTGAGGAGAGGCTGCAGGAGCTGGGGGGACACTACGTCACAGGTCCCAGGCCAGATGTGGCTTGGGGGCTGAGGTGGGGCTAGGGCAGCCCCTCCCCTCAGAAGACACCGAGCAGTCGGTCCAGGCTGGAAACCTCCGGTGCAGAGAGCAGGGCGCCGTGCTCCTGCCAACTCGGGGACAGGCACAGAGGGCGCATTGTATGAGCCTGCTGCCCCACCCTGCCCCCAGCTCTCAGCATAGTGCCTCCTGCGGCTCCAGGCAAGCTACCCAGGCAATAAAAGCACAATAAATCGCCCTGCCCTGGCCTTGGGGACGCGGCCCAACTTCATCTTGAGCCAAGTGTAAGCGCTCCCACCTTGGAGAACCTCTGCCCCAACCAAGACTTGGTGGTATCCCCTCCCTCAAGGGCCCTCCATTCTTCCCCTGCAAACTCCCCCCGGCCAGGTGCTTCCGCCTACCCAGCAAAGGGCCGGAGGCCCCCCCCCGGCAAAACAGTGTCCTCCCGGCACAGAAGGGTCAGGGGGGGGGTAAGGGAGTAGAGCAGGTGGCTGCTCGGGCAGCCTGGGAAGGAGTGCTCAGGCGTGAGCTGCAGGGGCAGCAACTGGTGTGTGCCTGCGGTGCCTGTGTGCATGTCCCAGTCTCCCTCAGCTCCCTCCCTCATGCCTCCCGGGCCTCTGGGGTCTCCCCCACACCCCTCCCAGGCTGTCTCCATCACTGGGGCTGTGAACATCCCCCCAAGTCTTCCTTTGTAGATTCACAAGTCCCCAGACCACCCACCCTCTCCCGACTGCTTCCTTGTCCCTGTTCCACCCACTGGGCCTCTCCCAAGATGCAGCCAAAGGGGCAGCAGGCACATTGCGGGACTCTGGGGTGCATGATGACACCCTGGCCCTAACCCCACGTAGGCCCCCATGCTCACAGGCAAAAGCCCACCCCTCACACCTGCCCAGCCTGGGAGGGGAGTTCTCTCCTAGAGACGTCCCGCCTCGAGCCTGCTGGGGGCCCTCCACACCTCCCTGCAGGTGGGGAGGCCTTCCAGATGCTGAGCCACACTGCCCACCTGTTGCCACTCGGTCCCTTCCTTTTCCTGTCCTGGAGGAAGAGAGGGAACCCTGCCCTGCTCTCCTCTCCTCCCTGCCTGGCCTCCCCTCCCTGTTCCTGGCCCTGGCCGGCAGGCTGACAGGCGCACCTGTTGACCTTGGTGGTTGCTGGGAACTTGTTAAACCCACCCCTGAGGAAGCTCTCAGCACACGCTCCGTTGGTCTCCCTCCAACCTCCTCTGTGGGAGGAAAGGGGCTGCCAGGCAGGAAGAGCCTGGGGCAGGAGCTGGGTGGGCAGGGGCAGACAGGGCTCCCAGGCTTAGGAAGAGGCCCCTCCACATCTCCAGGCTGCACCCCCTTCCCCTTGGCGCATCTCCAAGCTCCCCAAGTTTCCAGGTTGGCCCTGAAGCCTCCTCTGACTCACACCTCCTCCCCTCCTCCAGGAATGCTGGTGAAATGCCTGTGCCCCTCAATCCAGGCTTAAACATCCTCTCCTCTGTGGACCCTCCCTGACCTTTTCAGTTTTTGTTTTCTGGAGACAGGGTCTCACTCTGTTGCTCAGGCAGTTGCATGATCATGGCTCACTGCAGCCTCAAACTCCTGGGTTCAAGCAATTCTCTCGCTTCAGCCTCCCAAGTAGCTGGGACTACAGGCGTGAGCCACCGTGCCCAGCCCCTCCCTGATTTTTTGATGCGAAGGACACCAAGGAGACAGGGATCAAATCTCACTCATTCTGTCCAGTGCCCACCGGTGCGGCCTGGCATACACTAGGTGTTCAATAAGTGTGTGTGACAGGACTGTTCGTGCAGATCTGTGTGAGTGGGCAGGAGAGGGACAGCCTCCAGGATGGGCACAGCGAAGGGGAGGGGGGGCCCAGCACAGGCTTGCAGGGGCCGCAGACAAGGCTGTCATGTGGTGACTGCTGGTTGCTCCAGGCCAGCCACCCTGTTCTCTTACCCCAGCCTGCTGCTGAGGCCCGCAGTTGCCCTTTTCAACCTCCAGGCTCCTCGGGTTTTGCAAGGCCCAATGAAGAAAGAATGGTCTCTGTGCCGGTTGTGGCGCATGGAAGGATCTCTCCCCACTGACGAAAGCTTGACCTTTCACCTCCCTCCCTGATCAGCCCAGTTCCAGGAACCACAGGGACAGCCAGGCAGACTGGCAGGGGATGGTACCTTTCAGCGAGGGGGGTGTGTAGGCACAGGGGTTGGCTCTCTTCGACTTGAGGTGGTGCCCCTCTCCAGAGGCTCTCTGCCAGGGGAAGCACAAGGTTAAATGAACTCACCAGAAACCCTTCCTGTCACCCTCCCTCCACCCCACCCCACCGCCTGCTCTCGCCTGCACTGAGGGTCCCACACCTAGCCTGAGCCTCTCCTGCTGTTGCTTTGGGAAGGTTCCCACAAGGTGGCCTGGCTCTGGGCAGGACCCTGGGTCCCAGGGGCTCCGCCCTGAGTCTGAGCAGAGGAGGGATCTGCCAGGGGCGCCCTAGCAGCAGGCGCTCTCAGAGGTGTCGATTGATGTGCTAATGTGTCCTCCTGGCAGCCTGTGCTGGCTGGTTGTCACTGCAGGCACCGGGCCACCCCACCAAAGGGCCCCGGCAGCTCTCCTTCCAGCTGCCCCAGGAAACTCACCTGGTGGGGGGAGGCCTCCTCCTCTGAGGGAGGCCACCAAGTGGGACCAGACAGGAGGAGCAAGAGAGAAGAGGGAGAGAAAGAGAGAAAGAATCCCAGTCACTCTCTGCCAAGTAGCAATCTCTGGGGAAGGGGAAAGTGTGCCCTTTCCCTCCTGGTGCTGGGAGGTGCCATGTCAACACATGAGCCACAGAGTTGGGCCTCCAGACCTTCTCCACTCTGCACACAGCCTTCAGCTCTTCAATCCCTCGTGGCCCGTGGGACTTGGGCACCCAGGAGGGTATCAGAGTGAGGGCGGGGCTGGGGGACAGGACAGGGACTCTACCTGGTGAGGAATGCTCTGAGAGCCGGAACAGCATGGCAGGGGTTGGTCTCCGGCGCCGGATCTAGGGAGATGGAGGGAGGGGAGACAGGACAGACACCTGTGGCCCATCCCCACCCCACCCCCAGGCAGCAGGGAACAAAGGTGCTTCAGAGTCCCCAGCGAACCTTTGAATCCAAGGATGCCAGAGCTCAGAGGAACTCTGTAGCTCATCCAACTGCCTCATTTTACAGAGGTGAAAACCCAGGGCTCAGAGAAGTTCAGCAATGTACTCAAGGCCACACAGCACACCAAGTCCAAAGGATGAGAAAAACCCCAGTCACTGACTGCCAGACCATGCCCATCTCATCCCGCTCCATGGCTGCTCCAGAAGGAACCACTGCCTTCCTATCTTCTGCCCCTGGCCCTTCCTCTCCCTGGCTTCTGAGGGCATCAGCAGACCTTGGAAGCTGAAGCTGGCTACAGCCCTGGCCTCCAGGGAAGGGCCCTCTGGGGAAGCTGCCCCATGGGTGATGGCACCCACGTGGCCCTGCCCACCTAAGGTCAGCTCAAGGGCTCCAAAGAAACCGGATCCAGCTGCAGAGGGAGGCTGAGCTGAGGCACCGCGGCGCCTCCAGCCTCACAGGGAGGCTCAGGTGGGACCCAAAGGGGTCTGGGGGTGTTCTGGGGACCTGCGTCTGGCGCCCCCCGCAGTCTCTGTCAGGCTGTGGCACTCTTCGCCCAGTCCCCGTGGCAAATGAACCGTTGCCCTCCTTACTACGAGAGCCAAGCTGAGTTGGGGGGGGACCGAGCACTCCCAGCAACTGCCCCCGCCCCCAGCCTGATAATGAGTCGGTCACCAGTTAATTAGGTCCCCTTTCAGCTCCAGGGAAATGCAGAGAACCAGGTGAGTTCAGCTGAAACTGCCGCCTCCCCCAAGCTCCCCACACTGCCCTCAAGGCCAAAAGCTGCTGAGGCCCAGGGCTGTCCCCCACCTCCATCCCCCCTCCAGAATGACTGGCCCCAAGCTCACTGCTCTGTGGGGAGCATCGCGTCTCTGCAACAAGTGACCCTGGCCGGGCGGCGGGGGTGGAGCCTGTCACAACCCCCCACCCCTGGAACCCCCACAGCCCCCAGGAAGGCTCCGGAGACCTTGGGGGTCTTGGGCTGGCTTCAGGGATGACGGTCACCCGCCCCTCCCTGGGGCTGGCTCTAGGATCTGACAGCAGAAGGGGGTCAGAACACGGTTCTGGCGACCCCTGCCCAGGCACGCGCGCTGGGACCAGAGAGGGGCAGGGCGGAGGCGGCCCGGGGAGGCCTCAGGACCCCTTCTGCGTAACGGGGCAGCGCGGGAGGCTCCTCGCGACTGGCCGGCTCCGGGCTGGAACCGGGGCAGGGGGTCCCGTGGCCGCCAAGCCAAAGGGACGAGCGGGGGGGGGCGGGCGGGGAAGGGCAGTGCAGGGCAGAAAGGACGGTCCCCTCGCGGGTGGCCGACCCGACCTGCGCCCCGCCCCCGCCCGCTGCTGCTAACTCTCCGGCCCGGATCAAGACGGAGGCTCCGGGATAAAGTTGCTCGTGTCTCGGGCGAACTTGACGCGCCCCGCGCCCCGCGGCCGCCCCCACCCACCGGGCCCGCGGGGCAGCGCCGGGATAAGTCCCGCCGGGCGCGGGGGGCGCTGCGGTCGGGGCGCGGCCCCCTTACCATCTCCACCTGGCGGGGGTCGAGCTGGCTGGGGGGCACGGGCACCGAGAACTGGATCTTCTTGCGGTCCTTGGGGTCCATGGCGCGCGGGGCCGGCGCGGCTGGGGTCCCGCGGTGCCGGCGGGGCTCCCCGCGCTGAATTCCCCGGGGCCCATATCTTTGCCCGATTTATTATTGACGCGATTTTAGCCATTCTGATCAGCATATACTGGTACTATGTATGACTGTAATTTGTACTTCCTGATTATTACTAAGATTGAACACCTTTTAATTTGCATGTCCTTTTTGTGAAATGACTTTTCATTCTTTCGCTCATTTTCTACTCTTAATTCTCTCACTTATTTGTAAACATTCAGGAAGAGTCCATTGACAGTCATACGCTTTGTAAACATTTTTCTGTCATTACATGGAATACCTTTTCTCTCCATCAGTGATGACATTTG